ACCAACCTTTCCGCCAGAATTTTTTCGGCAGAATTTCCCTAATGTAGACTGAAGTCCGAAAGGACGGTCTATGGGACTTGGTATATGTATTACACGGATTTACCGGAGAATGTGTAGCCGCGGGAGTTTGAGTTTGCAGAAAGAGAGGCGACCGTCCTTCGACAAGGGGCAAGTCATGCCCGTGCTTCAAGCTGCACCGCGACGGGTCACGAGATGACGTCCAGACCAGACGTTCGACCTCGTTCAAGAAGGAACAAAGGGTTAGAGAGGGGTCCATACGTGACGACATGTAAACGAAAGACTGTAAATACCTATAGAAAAAATAAAAACAAAACTAAGGTGTGTACCGTCAATAAAATTTTTGTTTGGTACATGTGAAATGTTTGGTACGAAAAGTATCGCGGCTACCGACCGCCTCAACTTCCGTCGTCCCCTCTTCTTTTAGAAGTAAAAATGGACGGGGGGGAAGAATGTTTGTTATTGTGTGTTTACTTTACTGGTAATTTTTTCAGTCGCTTATGAAGAAAGTTCCAGCCAATGTTTATGACTTTGTATTTGGTCTTGTGTTAAGTTTTCAGTTGAAAGCATTAATGTGAAAGAAACGATGTGAAAAAATTTGTATTTACAAGAAAGTCGGGAGATTTTAGTAAGCCGTTTCTTTAAGGTTGAAGAAAACGCGTATTGACGTCTCTGACGTAACTAGCCCGAAGACCAACCTTGTCTTGACGGCAAAACATAGACTAAACAGGCCTCGCTGTCGAAGGAGGGTCTAGGAATCCTCTAACCCTGTTAGGTGTTTGTTTACGAGAAGACACACTAGGTTTCCGCAGTAATCTCATTGAGTAAACTGGTCCACAAACTTAATTTTATCGAAATCAAAGAATCTGACGCTGGTTAACATGTTGTTGATAAAACTTGTAGAAAAAGTTTTTCGACACCGAAAAACCCCAAACTCTATAAAAACAATTACCAACTGGATAAACTGTTTGTTGGACCTCTCGTCAACATTGTCTTGAAATCACTTCGAATGTTTTTCCCTTTGAAGGAGTAGTATTAGACCAGCGGCCGAGGCATCTTTTTGTACGAGCATTGGGTCCCCCCACGTTTGAGTTAAAGTAGAGCCCCGGCGTAATCCGGGTAGAACGTGAGTTCCGGTCATAAATATAATACTGACATATCATTTTAATATGTATATACTTTGACCCGGGAAACTCAACGGTTCTACGATTACGTCACGGCTCTACTTTAACCTCAACGCGTGGGGCCCGCAATCTCGTACAAAAAGAATGCCTGGCTGTCGTAATAACTACTCCTTCAAAGGGAAAAACGCATGATTTGTATTTTAAGTGACTTCGACAGACGAATTTGCAACGAGAGTCAACAAACAGTTTGATCCAGTTGTAAAATTTTTATTAGGTTTGGTTTTGTGTCGAAAAACTTTTCTACCAAGTTTAATCAACAACATGTTAACGCAGGTCAGAATTCTTTGATCGGGATAAAATAAGTTGTGGACCAGTATTACTACGAATGAGATTAACTGAGGAAACCTAGTTGATGTCTTATGTAAACGAAACGATAATTAAGATCCTAGACCCCTCCTTCGACAGCGGAGAGCCTGTTAAGTCTATTTTTGCGTGAAGGACAAGAGGTTGGTCTTCGGGCTAGTTACGTCAGAGACGGTCGAATACGCGTTCTTCACGCTTAAGAAACGGCTTCTAAATCCCCCCGACTTTCTTGTCAAAAATAACGAAATTTTTCGACATGTTTCTTTCCCATTAATCTTCCAACTGAAAAACTAACACAAAGAACGCAAAAATACAAAGTCATAAACATTCGCTGACTTTCTTTATAACGACGTGAAAAATTACCAGTAAAGTAAACCAACAATAACAAAACATTCTTCCCCGTCCATTTTATTCTAAAAGAAGCGAGGGAACGAGAAAAGGGTGGTACGCGATACTTTCGACTACGCCAAACCATTTCAACATGTACAAACCAAAATTTTATTGGACGGTACACGACCTTATTTTGTTTATTATTTTTCTATGGTTATTTACCAGTCTTTCCGTTTACGATGTTCACGGTAATGGACCCCTCTCTAACCCGCTGTCCCGTTCTTGAAGAGGTCCGAACGTCTGGTCTGGACGTCACTCTCGACGTTCGGGCGGTGCCAGCGTTGAAGCCACGGGCGATGACTTGCCGCCTTGTGAAGAGACGTGCACGTGGCCTCTTTCTGCGAAACTCAACACTCGCGGCTACACGATTCTCGGAAATCCGTGTAATACAATACCAAAGGTCCCATAGACGTCCTTTCGGACTTCCGAGTCTACATTAGGGAAATTGCTGGAAAAAATTTCCGTGGGAAAGGTGTGTAAAACTTTCTGGAGTAGCGGGTGAACGGCGTCAAAATTGGCCAATGGAAGCCGCTGTGTGAAAGGAAGTGTAATGATATATGTCGATAGTCCCAAAGTATGTGAAAAAAGTGCCCTAAACGTAAAAGTTACTGAATGGATCAAAAGGCTACTGGTTTTGTTAATGGAGGAAAGAGTCGCCCATGGAGACTTTTAACCGCACATAAAAAATTTGTACCTTGTCCCTTTTATTCGTTTAATGGCGCCTGTCAATTTCCGTAAAATGCAAAGTAATGATATGCTATGTCATACATAATAGTAATATCATAATGATAAAGCCCGGCGTAATCTATTTTATATTTATATATAAACTACGTATGAACAATGTAAAGGTACTGAAAAGGAAATTTGAAAACTTTTTTAAATAACAAAAGGTTTTTGAAACAGGGTCCCGGACGTTAATCGTAAAAACTAGAATGTACTGAAAAGGTCCAAAAATTACTGGCCCATCTTGGGACCTCATAACTAGTATAGGAAAGAGGAATAGAACGTAAAGGGGTATTGCGTACAACGACGTTGGCCGGGCATTTGCCTGGAAGGCGGGCGGCGGATAGTTCGGTCACTCGACGCACAGGACAAGTCTACTGCAGTTTAGGTTGCCCTCACGGTATTTATGATGTGTCTTAGTTGTGATGTGTGGATGCGTTACTAATGTAAGTCGCGTCTGACCGATCTTATGTGGAGAAACCCTGTTAAAATATATGAATAACTTTTTGTTCGATGTTTTACATTATGGAACTTTTACGGGGAAATTATGAAAAATTCGGAAGTAAAAGCCGGTTTAATAAATTGTTGAAAATTATGAAAAAATTATCGGAAGAAAAAGCGGTTTAATAAATTAGTTGAAAATTATGAAAATAATTCTGGCGCCTGGACGCTTATTCATTATATTTACTTACAACCCACACGATATTTGTTGATGTACTAGTGACACAAAAAAAGACCTCATCGCCACTTGGAGTTTTAACCGGTTACCTTGGCGACACACTTTACCTCACATTGACTATATACAGTATCCAGGGTTCATACACTTTTTTCACCAATGATTTTCACATGACCTTTACCTAATTTTCCATGACCAAAACAATTACTCTTTCTCAGCGGTACCACTGAAAATGGGTTATTTTAACATGGAACAGGAAAATAAGCAAAATACCGCAACAGTTAAATGCAATTTTACGTTTCATTACTATACGATACAGTATGTATTACCATTATAGTATTACTATTTTGGCGATTAGATAAAATATAAATTATATTTGATGCAACTTTAGTTACATATCCATGACTTTTCCTAAACTTTTGGAAAAATATTGTTTTCCATAACTTTTCCAGGGCCTGGAATTAGCATTTTGAATTTCCATGACTTTTCCAGGTTTTTAATGACCGTAAGAACCCTGTAAGCAGCAAAACAGAAAATACAGAAAGGATTCAGGACCAGGTTAGGAGAAGTGCAGTTTAATAATGAAACAGAAGTCCTTACCACAAGTATTGGGCTCTGGGGTTGATGCGGGCGCAGTACGCAAACAGTCGATTGAACATGGTGGTTTGCCATCTCACATGGAAAGGAGACAGCATCAGTCCTCGACCGGCCAACCATGACTCGTACCTGATCCTATGTTTCACGGACGACTGCAGAAGGAAAAGTAGAAAATATTATCCAAGAGTACAATAACCAAAGATCAAAAAGCATTGATTTACAGTAAGAGACTTTTAAGATTTCTGTTGACAATTTATTTGAAAATATCTGTTTTTATAAAAAGACACATTTCTGTAAAGAATCACTTAAATGTTGAATATGTGCAGTTATGTTACCAGTACTACTAGCATTGCAGCAATTTTTTTTTTTCATAGCAATACAACTGTAAAATCTTGTCAACCAATAATCTTAATTTAATTACAACTTTACATTTTTTTAGGTTTGCTTAAATCTTTAATAGAGTAACTCAAAAACTAAAATGAAAATTTGGCAGACAGATTATTACTTTTTCCACAAGAAAAAAGCACAATGTCCCCAAGTTGACAATCGACATGTTGGTCTATACTTTTGCTAATCCACTTTCTTTGTTGGAGGCCTAGTTAATTTTACAATACATTTGGTATTACTTTTTTTTTGTTATGTCATGTTGTTGTTTTACCGTTATTGAACTTGTCCATTACTGCTGGCAAAAGGCTTTAATGGTCAATTTAAGGGGGTAAACATTGATTTTGAAAAGGGTTAAGCTATAACTGCATAGCTTAGCTACATTTTAGTTGTGTCATTTTCCTACACACACATTTGCAGCTACTATAGTGGACAGAACCATAATAATAGCATACAATAGATTGGGGAGAACAAAGTGGAGCTATTCCTAAACCACATTGCAACATACAAGGTTGGCTAATGAAGCAACTATCCATGTATGCTAGCTGGCAGTTAATTTAACAACCAAAAACATTGACATATATTCACCTTTAATAGTGTGTCGGTGAGATAGACAACACACCAGCCTCCCATCACACACACCAGCAGAGGCACAGGGATCATGGTGCTTCAGATTCGGTTACACATAGAATAGAACTGCGCTGTCTCCATCACTCCGTCTTCCCGTGGTTTATCATGCAGCTAGCCGCAGTCATTTTTGTTTAAAACAACATAATAGCGTTAACATTTCGTATTGAATTAATAAGGGAAGAAGACGTTTGTTTTGAGGGATGATCTGCAGAGAATGAACAGTCAGCCCTGTGCGACAACACTTCCGGGTAGAGCTTCTTCTGTTTCTTTTTTAATGATGAAGATCAAACAAACGGAGCAATACCGCCCCCACGTGTGCAACAAGAGAACTTAGGAAAACATATGTACAGTATTATGAAGTTATCGTCTATTATTTATTTATGTTTTTCAATTAATCTATTTTCAGTCGTGAATTGAGTAGGCTATTGTTCTAACCTCTTAAGTCTTTATGTGTCAACATGTCAAAATGTGCTTCTTGAGATACCCACTGTAGTGGGAACTAACACATAAGTGTTGAGTACCTTAGGTGTTTATTTTGTCAACGCAATAAAGTCCTTATTGTGCATGATGAAATCATGAAACGTACAGCTATGCGGTTGAGATATAAATGAGTGCCGAGGTTAAAGATGAGTCTGGTCCAACCAAAGTTCTGTAAGCATTGAAGTGGCACCACCTTTGTATGCCCCTGGCCTTATTTGGCTATAAGTGTGATCCCAAAAAGGGTTGCTGGTTGCATTTAGCAATTCAATTAAAATTACCATTTTAGAAATGTTATCAGACTGTCCATGTATGCAGGCGTTATTGTTTGCATTTGATTTGTTTTCACAATTAATACTTTTTATCGCAACATATATTCCTCTTATCTTATAAGAAAAGATTGCACACAATTAGAAATAAAAAAGAGTACAAAATAAACAATTATACAATATAAACATATCTGAACATAAAACAGAACTGAAAGAGTATAAGTATTCAAGTTGACCGTGAAGAAAAAATATGTAAACTATCTGACAAATTAAACACTATGGAAGAGAAACTATGGAGCAGTAAGATCTCGGCCAGCCATTATCTGATGCTTTGTACTGTGTAAAATGAAAAATACTTTAAAAATATATTTATTTTTAGCTAAAGCATGGTCTTTTACTTAACCTTGCATAGCTGTTTTTTTTGTCATATCATAATCAAGACGTTATGCGACTGTAGTCTTTCACAAGTCAACTGTACAGTGGACAGACCATTGATGTATACAGAGGTACAGACATAGATTCCCCTCTAGGGTCACTGTTTGCCTACAGGCCATAAAATAGCAACAACTAGTCCACATTTGTGCATCTAACAGAAAAATATTGTATAACTATTTTTTAGATCCACATCCACAAACCCACCTGAAAAGCAGCTTCAGACTTCTGCACTTAACATGTCCCAGCTTACTGCAAAAACTTCAGCCATCTAGAATCAATAGTAGGCTATTCAGCTGTAGCATGTTGTAAAACACAATAAACAGATTAAGTGATGATGGTGTTTATCTGTAATAGGTGAGGGTTGTCCCTTCCAACAAGTACAGTAGGCCCAGTGTGTGTGTGAGATGCATTTGCATAGTCTCAAATTTATAACAAGGCTACAGCTCGCGTCTGTTCATTTTACTACCTGCACACATGGACTAGTTTCATGGGATAACTGTGGTTTGATGCCATGAAGGTGGACAACTCCAACAGAAGAAAACATTTGTAAATTCCTATACGAAAGGTAGGTAGAAAAACTGACAAGAATAAGAGGAGACATTTACAAAAACACACATACCATTTCAGTGGCTGAAAATGTAGTCTAATTCTCTCATGATGGGTCAGATTCCTCTCAGGGAGGAGCTTCCTGTCTCTCTGAGCCAATCAGGACGAGCAGAAACAGGTCAGGTAGCCAAAGAGGACCTCAGAGAGAGCGCAGGCAGGGCAGAGCAGCCACGCACGCCAGGAGGTAAGAGAGCACACACACATACACACTCACACCTTTAACTCTGTGAGATCACAGTTCCCCTCTGAGCTTGTAGATGTATCACTGTATAGCTTAGATATACCAGCGTGTGTATATGTGTGTGTGTTTCTGAGTTTTTGAGTGTCAGAGCAGAAATAGGCCAGGGCCATTTTAGTCACTGGTGTTTTAAAGATTCAAGTGTCAGGTTTTAATGAAGATGCAGAAAGAAACATAGCATACATTTGTGAGTATCATCTACACCGACCGTTTGTGTTTGAGTGCTCCATGCTTTAATGTGCAATATGTTATTAAAGTGTGGTCTGCCAGTTAAATTGTTTCTCTCTTTTTAGCATTTTACTGTTACTGTAGTTAAAAAAAGATATGCTGAAAGTTAAGATATCCAAGTGATGTTTGACAATGTTTTGGTCCGTCACTCAGCGTGCCCATGTGTGTCCAAGGGTGTGTGTGGATGGAAAGCAGGTCCCTTCTGTGTAACACTCTTCTATTTATAGTGAGAACAAATCCCAGATATGAGAGGAATCCTTCCACCACTTACGAGGCAGGGCGAGAGAGAAAAAGAGAGGGTGGAGAGAAGAGGATAGGAGAAAGAAAAAGACGGAGATGATAACACGTGTTTGAGAGATGGGTAGAAAATTGTTATTGAACAAGTGAGAACTCCTAGCCTTTCAAATCAAGCATTAGATAATACAGTATTGTGTCATCAATAGGTAAGTTATATGATTTGTTTTTGTGTAGGTGAGAGCGTGTGTTTGAGAATCATTGAGTATGGCAAACAAGGTTTAGACTTTTGTTGTAATATTCTACTTGTAACAGTATTTTTTTAATTGGAAAAGTCCGGAAGTTTCCATTTACTGTAATGCAATTGAGAAGTTGAAGTTGAACTCTTATCTAGGCTTTTGATTAAACAAAACAATGGATTATTTCCACTTGACTTTTTTTCTTAATCCATCTCCCAGTCCTTTTGTACATTTCCTTTCCTGCCTGTGGCATTCAACTCCATTCTCAATGGTACCTACTGAAAATCTGTAAAACATATTGTGTGAAGATCACAAAACAAACAGTCACCAACCATGCTTTGTTTAGGACATAGTGCTTACAATGACAAGGTATCCTGTTATTTTAAGCAGATTAAATGTAGATTCCCCATTTTAGTTTAGCCTGGTAGTAAGCTAATATTTGAAAATAAGTAGGTCAATCCTAAAACCTGTTGTGGCTGCAAGTGTTTTTAGATTAGTAAACCAGAGTAATTTCAACTAAAGTAAAGTAAAACTTTATTAACTAGGGATCATACATATTTGAAGTCGAATCCAACCAATACTTAAGATATTTCACAACCAAAAAAGTTAAGCTCATGTTAGCCATTTTAAACTCACATCACCAGCCTTATTATTATTAATTAAGCAAAGGAAATAGACACATTTCTTAATAAATTCATTAGTTGTTCAGTTTATAGCTAGAGAACTCTAAGTATTTGTTTACTTTTCATATACAGCTAGATAACACATTGAAACATGCTGTCACACTCACAACATCCAACATGCTGTACCTCAAAGAGCCTTTCTGTTAGGGGTCTGCACTGAGGTTTTAATAATTGAGGATTTAAATAATTCAAAGAATGATTGTACCTGAGTTTATGAGATTATGTGGAGGGAGGGTGTGTAAGTGTGCACATAGTCACACGTAAAAGTGAAAGGCTTGTGAGGATTTGGGGGGCATCAGGGGGCAGCTGCTACTCCCAGCCAACTTAAATATCATCGCAATGTGTAAGCACGTGTTTGTTAGTGGTAGTGTATTTTGGGGTGTCTCGGCTTTTGCTCTCATGTCAAGGACAGCAGAGCTTTTACTGTGTGTTGTTACACAAACAGCACCCTGGCAACGGTAACTAAGTGGCTGCCATAGATCGCAGCAGCCGGAGAGCCTGGGACTTTCTTTGGTTCCCTGCTCTGCTCTGAGCCACTTAGTAGATAAGATAAATAGGCCATGAAAACTTTTACGATTAGGAACCGCTTGATCTGTTAAACAAGAGAAAAAATAACTTTTTTTATGTTTCCAGCTAACACATTGTGAAAGGAACATGTTCTTAAAAGGGTCTTGAATATCCACTTCGGGTTTAGGCTTTCAAAGATTTAAGTTAGTGATAGATTCTAGCTACAGTTCGATCACTAACCATTAACCTTGTCTTGTAATATGCTGTGTTCTTTAACAACATTACACCAGAATGGGAGTTCATGTGTTTTGTTGAGATTTGAATTGAATCCAGTGTGGATAATAACCTATGAACCTGTGGCTGCTGCTCAGTAAAAGGTGACCAAATGAACATGTCCTTCTTCTCCTGCCATGTATTCTATGCTCAATGCAAATGTTCTCACTCAAACATTTGCTGAAAGCTGTTTTATTTTGACATTCCCTTTTCTCTCCCTCTCATGAATGATTCAGAGAACAGTTCCTCTACCTGCTTCTCTCTGTAAGAGTCGCTAAGCAACTGAAATGTTATCCCGTCCCTTTAAAACCAGAAACAGACTCCCAATGCCCCCAACACGCACACTCACGCACACATACACACACAGCTGAATGTCTGTGATCTGTGCTTTCTCGAGGTCAGTGGACTTACCGGGGGGGATTATGTCCAAACCTTCGTCCAACGTTAAGGCCCTTCAGGTAAAATATTTGTGTGCACAATAAGGCGTAAATGTTTTTTTACCTGCATTGAAATGTAACTTTGTTTTATGACTTCAAAAACATCATGTTTTACTTACAATTACACAACAAGATCACAAGTTATTGCATTAAAGCTTCAACCAAATGGCACAATAACTCTCAAACTTGTTGAAAATAAAGTTTCCAGATTTAAGTATTTATTGGCAAAGGCAAGTACAGAGTTCAGACAGTGCATATTACAGTAGTATCAAGGCTTTATAAGTGCTGAGTTTTAGCGAGGCATAGGATGGAAAGTTGTCTGTATTGCTGCGTGTGTAAAAAATGTCTGTATTTGAGATGTAATGGCTTTATGCGTGCATGTGGGAGAGGGTTTCTTCCTTCTCTTCTCATTGTGCTCATTTTCATGTCTAACCATGGGATAGGCATCTGGACAGGCGAACACTAGTACAGTACAAACATGAGGTTTCTTCGTCTCAGCACTCCACCATTAGTTCAAAAGAATCACAAACAAAAACAACTTTACAGATTTACATTATAATCATTTTCATAAATATAACTCTTCGTCTTCAAAAGCTATATATCTAGTTGTTTTTAAATCTATTTTATCTTTCACATATACATTATACCGCCTTTCCTACATTGATTCTCAATACAGCTATTTTGCATGTAATCCAAATGTCTTCAACCGGGGGTCAGAGTTACTGCGGAGGGGTATCAAATTATTGCTTGATAATATCATGAATACTCTGGATCCTAATGGCCTGAGCAGAACAAAACACTTGGCTGACTGGTTCCATAAATTCCCACTAAAAAGTTAAATCAATGTGAATTTGACTTTAGCTGACAAAGAAGGACAGTCTGGCAGTTCCAATCAATACAAGGAATGAATCAGCTTGCTTTATATCTCTACTCAAGCACACCACAGGTGCTTAATAAAGCCTTTCATTGATTGGTCTGCTATCCAATGAGACATTTCCATTCCTCTAAAAGTCAGCTTTAAATAAATTAGTTTAAAAATACATATTATTTATTTGACAAATATAGGCCAAGATGTATTTGTCGGATTGATCGGCATACAGCCTACAATCTCTATTCTTACCTCAGCCTTCTCCCATATTATCAACCTGTAGCCTATCATCTTTTTATTGCTCCAAAAGGCAAGCAATAAAAGGTGCAATACACTTCCCAAATGTTTCCAGTGTGGATCATAAAGACTACACTGGACTTTCATGGTTTTTACTTTCCAACACATATATTTAACTAACATAGCCCTGGCTACATGTTGCACCTCAAAGCAGGATAACAGAGTAATCATTTGGATGGAAATAATAAATATGAAAAATAAGCAGTGTTGAATGTAAATTAACTCAAGTATTAATTCTATAGGATTAAGATAGTTGATAAGATTCTCGTACATAAAGACTGAATGCAAGTGGAAACAGCTAGTGTAAAAGGGTTAGGGTTAGGTAAGTTATAACATATTATCATTTAGCTTTAAACGTGCTGTTAGATTTCCATCAATGTTAGGACATGGCTAGTCTAGCTGCTTTCCCAAACCTTTATGCTATGCTAAGCTAATTCTGGCCCTAGCTTCACTTATCAGACAGATATTAGAGTGATATCTTCTCATCTTGCTCTCTACAAGAAAGCAAATAAACTTGTTTCCATAAATGTCAAATTATGATTTCATATCCAATATAGGGTGAAACATTCTTTTAACCTTTAGTTGAAACGTCAGTAGATGATTGTTGACAGCTCGCTAAGCATAAGACAGTTAACAACCCCAGCCAAAGCCACTTTACAGGGATACAAATCTGAGCAAATGTGCTGCAGTTGAGGCGGTTTCTTCCAGGCTTTTAAACCTTATACTCTGGAAAAAAAGTAAAGCCCCTCGTCCTCAGTGACATAGACCACACTCACTCTCTGTACAGCTGTACAATATGAGAATATATACAATACAGTACATTACAGTACAATAAAAAACAAAAACACTTCCAACAAAATCCAAGTGACAGGATACTAGGGACAGGCAGCAGTTTAACATCAAGTAAGCAGGCAAATCGCTGAGCTGTGTATGTGTGGTTTGCATGTGTTTGTGTGTGTTTGTTGTCTGTCACATTTTCATAAACACACAACGCCCTTTTTAGGGACATCATGATAACCAGGAAGGAGTGGCTATAATCAAAACAAGGGGTTTTGAGGATATACACACACATGCGGCGAAAGGAAATGTGTTTAAAGTGATCTCTCTGTCCGTCAGGCTAATTTGAACATCCCGATGGGAGCTCTGCGTCCAGGGGCGGGACATCCTGTCAAGAGGAGAGAGGAGACAGTAGACACAGAAGAGGTAAGAGAACACAGAGATTACACTCACACACAAACACAGGAAAGTGAAAGAAAACATTACCCAGTTGGAATAAAAGAAAATGTCACAATTTAGCTTTTGTCTGTGAACGACACATACATTTCCTTAATTGTGGTCATCTTATTATCTATTTTTCATCTTACCCAAGTAACATAATATAATATGACATATAAGTAGTCTGAGTGGAGTATTTTTGGATTGCATTAACCTACAAAACACACTTCCAGATGTGTCCATGTGCTACTGCTTCATTTTCATCAACGTTACTCACAGCTCTCTTTGGGATAAATGGGAGGCACAATGCTGCCATACTGTACACACACAGATAACAGGAATTGTGATGAAGTTAAGAATAAATATATTCTACTATTTGAGACTCAAAACCAGTTCACATTTTTTTTAATGTGATGCCTATTTACAAACAAAAAAAACGTAAAACCTTAGGTGGTGAGGGTCTGAGATGGTGGTTAAAACCATTTTGCTAACTTAGGCTGGTAATTATCAAAAGGCTGTAAAATAACTGTAAAATTAATTAATTAATTAATTAACTGTAAAAGAAACACGTTTGGAAGGATTGCTACATTTAGCTTAAGCTAAGGCTTGCTGCAACTACTGTATCTCACCAACTATTTGGAGGTTTGCCTTTAGGCTCTGTTGTTATTTTGCAGACTTAACATCATATGTTATCTCAAATTAAACACTTCTAGGGCATATTCTTTTTCACAAGGTAAAACACATTCCTATAAAACAAATCTCTTTAAAAATAAGAGTGTAATGTTGACAGTTAATAAAAAGGTACATAAGACAATTGTCATACCGTCTTAGTGGCAATGTTAAACGCTAAAACTACTGTTTTAATAAAGTAACTGAGCGTTTTGAATTTTGAAGAACTAATCAGAATCAGAATCAAGTTTATTGCCAGGTACCTGCAGTGAAACAACAACGTAGTGCATTATTCGATGTTTTGGTTCATATTTGTTTCTCTTTTACACATACAAGGAATTTGCTTTGCTATCTGGTCGTGTGAATATAAACAATTAAAAAAAATAAGTTGCAAAGTCGGTACAAAAAATAATATATAAGGATAATACAAAATAAGTATTATTAAGAAACAATAAAAAATAAAAAATGGATGCTAAAGTATTTACACCAAATTGAAATGTAACTATACAAATAACCTTAAAAGCTTAAAAACAAAAGACAAAAACACTTAGGACAATGAGTATATATGGCAAGTGTATTATATTATAAAGTGGAGGGCTGTGCAGACATGTGTGCAAAAAAGTGCAAAAAGCAGTCAGATCGAATCATCATCTTCCAAAAGAATAACAGTATTGATAATAATACTTCTGCTTATTTATTTATTTGATCCCTAGGCTCCTTTACCAGAGCAGCCCAGCGCTGCACCCCCCACACCGGAGGAGAAGAAGGCGATGCCGGGCGCCGTGAAACTGCCCGGGCCTGCTGTTAACCTATCAGAGCTGCAGAATGTCAAGAGCGAACTACGATGGGTCACCAAGGAATAACATGTAAGTGGCAACCATATCAACAACCCCAAACCCTAAATGTACTCATTGCTTTCTATGTTTCATGTTCAGATTATAATAATAACATCATATTTATACATTTGAATATGTTTTTTTTCTCCTGACCTCAATCAAACCAGATAGCTTGTTATGGTAAAATATTTGTTTTAAAAGACTCCATAATCAATAATCTAAATAGGGTTTTGGGAGTTATACAGAAACTAAATAAGTCAATTGCTGCCCAGAAACTCAAGTCAAGATTTTGGTACATATTTAAGCAAATGAAATGCAGGACACAAGAGGGATCTTGTACTATATTACACTGTGAGAACTTCATTATCCAGTATAAATGAATTGATAAAGAAAAATGATTAGAAGGTACAAACAGATTACCAAAAGACTTAGTCTGTGTGTCCTCTCACAGCATGTTGTGAAAAGGAGCTAAACAACATGTGGTCCTTAAACTCTGTTAGAGAACAACTGATATTGGAATTACGCTGCAATTAAGAAGATCACAACACAACATAATCATTTTTTTGTCCAAAAACAAAACAAATCTATTCAGTAATAAAAATAAAGATAATTGCAAATCTTCTTCCCTCATACTTAAACAAAGCTACCCAATGAGTATTTTATTGATAATCTTTATAGAATGAACAGTATTTAGTTCTTAGTCTTAAGCCTTTAGGTTTAACATAAACTGTATGTTCCAGTCTAAGCCTTCTGTAGTAGTGGATATGGTAGAGTAAAGATGAAACATTCAAATCCAAAAGAGTGTTGTATATATCTTTTTGAAAATGAAGACAAAAACCTGAACATACTGTCGACAACAAGACTTTCAGGGAATGTTGTGTCATTTGTGCATCTGTTGATATTATTATTTGGAAACACAATTTTTCCAACTGATCAGTCACAGTCGAAGCTTACTTGCAAATATTTGACACAGCTCTTTTGTGCAGTAGTCAGAACGAAAGAGAAAAATGCAAATCAGAAACACACGAAAGTGAGTTATAGTGAGTTCACAAAGTCAGTAATCCCGTTTTTGTGAATTATGCAAATCCAATCCCTGAAAAGTTGAATCACTATCTAACTAGAAATACAGGTTTCCATATCCTGGAGTCCTACAGTAGATACTTTTTTATCACCCGAAACTTGTGAGAAATGCTGTCCCAATCGGTCAAAGCCAAAATAATATTTATGTTAATGTCATTCAAAACAAGGAAATGCATCCTATCCTCATATTCGAGAAGCTTAAGATATTTAATTAAACATTTATAAATTACAAAAGGTCTATATATTCATTTGCAGATTATTGTTTCACCCATATCATTTTTATAAAAATCCTGGACAAATTAAATAACTACTATCTGTTCGTTTAATATATGTCCATAAGTATATATTGAATCTTGGTACAATACGGAATGTTCTTTTACATCTGCATATTAGGTGAAACAAAAAAAAATGTTTTTTACATCTTATCTGAGGAAAATGTAGCTTCAAGCAGGAAATATTGATACATCATTATTACCCAACAAGAAACGAAACTGCTGAACACGATGCCATTATGTCTTTGTAACAGAAAAACGACTTGCAGTGGTTGAATTCGCCACAGGGGGGCACTCTGGGATGCACAGTCTCTGTTTGGGTCAAGAGGCGTGTGTGTTTATGCCTCTGTGTGTGGGCAGGAGGGTTTGAGTCAGGCTCTATTTTGAAACCTTTTAGAAGTGTGTGTGCTTTAGAAAATGAGTGTGAGCACTGAGGGGCAGTCTGATCTGTTTTTCTCAGCGGGACACAGAAACCACAATATCTAAACACTTTCTGCCCTGCCCAAACTATGTGGGTGTGCTGTGTAGGAGATACATGAGAATGTGGTTCAAGTTATATTAGTAATTAACATGTTTTCCAGAGGCAGAAAACAATACTACATGCTATTTCTGAGTAGGTACTGTAAACAGCAGTATACACCAAAACTACCCAGAAAAACAGGAACACTTAATCCGCCTGGCTTTGAATGTGTATTTGATGGAGACAAACAAACCACCAGCAACCAAAGGAAAGCAGAGAACTAAGTGTTACAAATCAGGAAAAACTTTACAATTCTAAGTGGCAGTTTGATCAATCCATGTCTTATATACAACATGGCCTAAAAGGTATGCTGACACCCTAGCATTACACCTGCATGAACGTATCATCTTGGCATTAAGAGATGCTACATCTTCCACTCTATTGATTCCACGACTTTCTACCAGATTTCGGACCCAGGCAGCAGATGTGTTCCCATTCATCCACAAGAGCATTATTGTGGATTTGTCTGATGTTGGCTGATAGTTGTGCCAAACACAAAGTTAATACCAAGTGTGGTCTGAGTAAAGGTTGTTAACAGGGGTGCCAACTTCATTTTAGCAACATAATATATCCCTGTGAGAACTAAAAGTAGTTAGTTCATGTCTTCAGACTGCATCATACAGTAAGTAGCTACAATTAGAAAAATAAAACCAGATTTCTTATGGAAAACTGATATAAAATATTTGTATAAAAGAGCAAGTAATTTCTGGATTAATAATGAATGAGATTGAAAACCTTTCTTACATACTGTAGCTTGAAGCTAGCATAACCATTTCAACTTTAAAGAGAAAGCATAGCTAACTACCATGATTTAGCATCAACGCATGAAATGCAACATTTAAAGCTACCAACGAAAGTCCCAGGCTTTTATTGTATTAACTCTCAGCCTCTTGTATTTATTTTATTTTATTTTGTATCTTGTATTTATTATTTTATGCTCTAGTCATTACACAACTAGCAAAAATGTAGCTCCTTGACTCTACCCACTGGTGTTAAACTTGAAACGTGAATACCTGCAATAAGAAGTCTTGTATGAGATTGAAATAAACAGAAAATGTTTCAGATGGTAAGGGGAGATCAAGAAAGGGGAAAACAGAAATCAAAAAAAGTCAAGAGATAGATAAGTGCAGACAGAAAAAACAGCTGATCGATCAACCAGATCTTATATCAGGCTGAATCACTGAAACCTGGCACCCCCTCTTGTCATCCTTGCTTTTCACTGCCTATCACGGGTCAGCAGCTCTGAGACCCCGTGAATTCCAGACAGAAAAAACCTCACACTCTTTTTGTCTGTCTTTCCTCCAGGATCCCCAAACAGGCGAAGGCGAAGGAGAGATAATCTTCATAAACAGACTCGCCCACTGCCACTGAAGACTGAGCAAACTACTATCTAATCCCAACATGTTCGAACAATAACAGCTTTTGAGAAGCCAATGGCTGCAGAAAAGGTTCAGCGTTTAACCAAAACCACCACCACGCAATCATCCATTACCTCTTCTATCAGTCCTCTAAAGGTTAAAGCACTGCAAACATATTTATCTTACTGTGTCAGATAGTTGTGTCACTACTGTACATTCAAACTTGAATCATAGTTTGTAACACGTTAATGAGATAAAGCAAGATATTCTGGATTGCTTTTGCTGCAGATAAGACTCAAACTAACTCAGACTTTAAGTAAGTGAGTTTTTGTTCAGAATAATTCTTTTAATGTGTTTTAAGTCTAAAGTAGCTGGCTTAGAAGGACTTTTGTTGACATTTGTTGTACATTTAAGGAATCAACTTGACAAAAAACAAACTCTGATTCCCCTTCTTTATGATGACACTTATTTTCCATACTGTCAAAACTCCAAACTATTCAGCACTGATTCATTGTGAGAATTTCAATTATATTATAATTTCTAAATGTTTAACAATTTGAAATGATGCGATGGGAGTTAAGTTCAACTGTACTGTTTTTTTTGGGAGGGGGATTTTAATCTTTTACTTGTTCTATTGTTATGATTCCCAAAAACTGGTATCTTTGTGAAAATGTTACAATAAAACAATATGGTTCTAAATATCCAATGTTATGTTCATTACTATATCTACTATTACAGTAAAGGAGAATAGTGGTTTGATATTTTATATGTTTTTGATTTGCTCTAATCATTATGAAATACTTGCTTTATCTAATTCATATTTTTGTAACATCTGCCTCTACAGGTGGCCGTGTTGATTCCTTTATTGCATCACTTTGTCCACACTAATATACAACTATTGGATGTATTGCCCAACACTTGAAGACAAATATAAAAGTATCGTTAAGGATAAATTAAACACACTTTTAATGAATCCCCAAACTGTTGGCATAACCAGCAGCACCATTAATTTGTTTACTTATTTAGTCAAATGTTCCAATTACACGTTCATATATTTTAAAACCTATAACATGTATTGCTACTAAATGATGTGCCATTATGCGTGTATAGTTACATTGTTGAAACACTTTTGACCTCTGTACCATCTAACAAAGACACCACAAATAAGGCGAAAGGACATGTTTAAAGGGGATTATTTTGTTTGCTTCCTTCTCTCCTGTAGGTGTCAGGAGATTGACAGTTAACACAGTGTGACACAATGCATCCATTCATGACAAAAATATCCATCATGATTAACCTGAACACTCTGACAAGAGGAAATTAAAACCTCACGTTTACTGTGATGAAAAATGATGCCCGAAGAGTCATCATATTTCCCACTGTAATATTCTTGTTTTATGTGCATATGTAATAGGTATTACAGGATATCAGGGGGGAGTCAGGGGTGTCTTTGAGCATGGAGTCACTTTGATCCCCAGTTAAATCTTCAAATCCAACAGTTTCAATACGGATTTGTGTATTAACGGCGCACCCACATGCCATCATACACACCACCAGACTCCATTACATCAGATATCCACCATCACATGTTCAAACAGACAAACACACAGGGCAGCTGTACTGTGGCTAAGATTAGCATCCATCAGGTCATGATGGAGAGAGAAATACTGCGAGTGTATTAACAACCATACAGGAGCATTGGACATGTGTGTGGGAATGATGTAAATACTTGGCAGTTTCAAAAAGGGTAAATCTGCTTTTTTTGCCAGTAGACTGTGTTCTGAATTTTAAACTGTTGTAACCTTTCCTTAAAACAAATAAACACTCATCTGTAAATGTGAGCCAACATTATTTCAGAGACTATAACTCAATACAAAATGTATGAAATTGTAACCATGACTGACAGTATAATCCCACAGTAGCTCAACATCAATCAGCTGATCATAAATGCTACTCGCTTGATATTGAAACTTTGTTATCACTGCCACTACATCTGCATAAAAATAATAGCATGACATCAATCTGCATCATTTTATAGCAGTACAGGTCATAGGAAGTTTAAATTCCTACCATAAAGTCACGGCTTACTCTAACACTAAATGTTGAATGCTTCTTTTGACCCTTGTAAAATGTTTTGACAGCTTGGCAAAACTTCCTGTGTCCAGTGTCTCTGTTTCTATTCCTGTAGCCTAGCGATGAGGGCACAGATAGGTGCCGTGGCAACCGTGCCCTGGAATCTTGGTTTGCAGACTATAGCAGCTGTATTCACCGATGAGTTCATCCACTGGGATAGTCACTAAAAGCCTGCCAGGCTCCCTGTGTGTATGTGCGTGCGTGTCCATCGATGCATCTGCTTGCTCAATCGGTGTGTATGTTGGATGCATGTATTTGGGTGATACTCCCTCCCGGACACAGAGGAAAGGGCAGCGGACAAATACAAAGCCACCAGAGCTGGGACATCAAAGAGGAGACAGAAGGACATGGGACGGAACAAGTTGCAAGGGCCAAAAGAGGATTGTGTTTACGATTGTAGAGGAGAGTTTTTAAACGTCCTATCATGGTATCATATACCCGCCGCAGCAGACAGAGCAGGACCTCTCAGCTCTCTTGTCTTTTCTCATCATTTCCTGTTCCTTGCTTTCAAAAACCTCTTAGGCGGTTCTGCTAGAAATGTCAGATTTTCTTTCTGTCAAACCTTTTTTAGTGCAGCTTTTGGACTACATATTTTTTGATAACACTCATCAATGTCCTTACTACCGTCTCACTCCTGCTACCTTCCGACAAAGCTTTTACCAGCCCTCCTTTTGACCCTTTTTGAATATTTCTCTCTCATTCTCTTATCGTTTCAATTCTTATCTTTTGGATGGATAGCTACTCTCTCCTCTACAGTTCCTCCCACAGAACCGGACTTCTTTCTGGTTTCCAACGCCTGCGCGCTCAGACAAACATGTGTGATGTTGTCCTTGAGGCTGGGGGTGTATGTTTCCCTTGTCATCGTGCCCTTTTGGCCAGCTCCAGTGAGTATTTTTGGGCTCTGTTCGGAGAGACTACCTTGGAGAGATTAGCGGGATCCGTTAGCCTCCCGGCAATAACACCTGAGGGTTTAGACGCCATTTTGGACTTCCTGTATTCTGGTTGGCTCAAAATATCAACACCGTCACTTCCTGATGTCTTGGAAGCAGCCAGGTATTTGCAGGTGGAGACAGCCGTGTCTATATGTGAGCATTTTGTGACTGATAGTTTGAGCCCTTTGAATTGCTGCTGCTACGCTAACCTGGCCGAGCATCACTCCCTCCCAGATGCATTTGAAGCTGCCAATCAAACCATCGCTATAGAGATGAGGACATTGCTCCAGGAAAGCAGGGATGACCTTCTCAGGCTGAATATCCAATCACTGATGGCTGTGCTTGAAGCAGACGAGATACCTGGTGTCAAAGAACAGGAGCTCATAAAGCTTGCTTTGGATTGGCTGGATATGAATGGGCCCCTCCCTTTGCTGAAATCAAATCTTTTGCTGAGTCATCTGCGCTTTGGATTGGTAGCCCCCTCTGACCTCACCAGTCTTAGCCACACCCACAAAGCCATGGCCACACCTCTTGTCAGAAGTCAGCTTACTCGAGCATTGGAGTACCACAGGATGGGTTCAGCTCAGCCAATCAGACAAAGCAAACAGTCGACACTCAGAGCTTCGCCCAATTGTGTGCTGCTTGTGGGTGGAGGATCCAGCCCTGATTGGCCGGAACAGCAGATGCTGAAGTTTGATCCTAGAAGAAGGAAGTTTTCATCTCTGAGTTCCAGTCTCCCGCTCCGACTGAGAAATCACTGCGTGTGCTCAGTGGGAGGTTTCCTTTTCGTGATTGGAGGAGAGGAAGTGAAAGAGGGAGATGAGAATGGGAAAAAGTCTGTCATCGTGTCAACATCCAACCAGGTGTGGCGCTATGATACCCGCTTTGACTGCTGGGAGACAGTAGAGTCCATGAGGGAGAGGAGGGAGAAGTTCACCTGCTGCGTTGTGGAGGATGCTATTTATGTCATTGGGGGACGACACACACAACCAGAAGACAACACACACACCTCTGTAGCTTCTGTTGAGTTTTACGACATGGCGACAGGAACATGGAGAAGAGGAGCATCTTTGCCTTGTCCCCTTTACGGGCACGCTTCTGCTGTGCTTAATAACGGCATCTACGTGTCAGGTGGTCTGCCAGGCAACCAGGACGGTAGTAACCATGGTGATTACCAGGATGAACAAAGAGAGAGCAGCAGAGAAGTAATGTTCTGGGACCTCAAGGGAAGAGTCTGGGAGAAGCGAGCGCCAATGTCCATCGCCAGGTTCAGTCACCGTCTAGCAACCGCCCAAGGCCAAATCTACGCCTTGTTGGGAATGTACGAGCCTTTCTGCGATATTGAAAAATATGATTCACAGGTGGACAACTGGACCCGCCTCCGACCACTTCTCATTGGCTCCTTCAACTACGGGATGGTGTCAATGATGTCTGGGAATCTGCTGGTGTTTGGTGGAAGGAGATGGAGTGATGGACAAGAGGTGATTGTAAAAAGTGTGTTGGAGTACGATACGAAGAAAGATCTTTGGAGAGAGATCAGCCAACTCCCAAAACCTCTCACTGGGACTGAGTGCACACTGCTGTCGCTACCAGACTAAAGAGTGCATAATATATACACATGAAAGTGAGACAATTTTCACTAATAGCAGAACAATCTCAACATTATGAAAGCCGAGCACACATGATAACTTTTAAGGAAACTAAAACTATTTAGTTTCAGACATGAAATCAATGTCCTGCCTAAATAGACGAGAACAGATGTCAATTATTCCAGGATATTTAGGAACATTTCAAACAAGTACATTTCAAAATACATTTATATTTTTTCTTAACTTACTCTTTTACTTATTATTTATTTTTATAAATGTGATGGGAAGGAAGCCAGATACTGTTATAGACTGTTAATCATGAAGCTAACGTTAGCTTAACATCATTAGCTGAGCATTATTTTTACTCTTTGGTTCTTGTATGGATTATACATATCACATAGCCTACAATTTGAGTATTAGAGGAGCTTGTAGGCAGATTGTGTTCATGTTTCACTTTGACAAAACAAGCAAGGCTAGCTTTTCTTCCTTCGTACCACATTTATGCTAACCTACCTTAGTCTATGAATATTGATTAAAGGGGACCTATCATGCTATATTTGAATAATATATTGTAGGGCCATACCTATAGAAGGTATATTTATAAGTTTTATTTTTCAAAATACCAAACAGATGCATTTTAGCCATGCCTCATTTTGCCTCACTCCAGCTCTGTCTTTGCATGAGCTGGAGCTGACCCCCCCCCCCCCCCCC